ACTGTATGGCAGAAAGGAAATAATAAGCATAAGGGCAGAAATCAATAAATAGAAAATGTAAATAGCCTTGTATAGCGAAGTCAAATGATAGTATCATCATACACAAACTTTCTTAAAATAGAGAAAGTGGGAAAACTTTCAATTCATATCATGAGACAGTTTTATTCCTGATACTAAGACCAAACAAGAACAATATAAGGGAAGAAAATCACTGCCAGTATATCCTATGAACACAGATTTTTAAAAATTGGACAAAATATCATTAAATGAAATCCAGCATTATATAAAAGGATTAAGCTGGACTTATCCCAACAATGGGAGGTTGGCTTAACATGAAGATCAATCAGCATATTTCACTACATACACAGGTCAAGAGGAAAAAACCCTGTCCATAGGGGAAAAACAAAGAACCTCAGCCTCTACCTCACGACTTCTGACAGCGTTCACATCTGACAAAAATTGAAACCTAAATATATTCAAGATTCCTGCAACTTGAGAATAAAAAAGAGAAACAAGAATAATTTGTACTTGACACTCAGTTGTCCAAGAGATGTAAAAACTAACATGTGCAAAAAGTCTTTTACCAGCTTGATTAATAAATACTCAGTTATTGTTTCCAGCTAGTGACTGAAAACAACCATGTTTTGCAACAAGAAAATGGTACATTTTGATATATTCATTTAACTGAATACCAAGCAATAAAGAGAAATAAACTGCTGATACACATTGCTACCTGAATTAACCTCAAAAACTATGATGCTGAGTGACAAAGGTGAGCACAATAATTAAGTACTGTGTGATTCCCTTGATGTGATTTTCTAGAATAGTTAAAACAGATTTCTGCGGTGACAGAAATCAGATCACTGATCTGCCTTATTTAGAGACAGAGTGGAGGTAGGATGATGGCTGGGAAGGGGGCACAAAGGAACCTTCTGGGATGATAGAGTTGTTCCTTGTCTTGATGGGCATTCCCCAAAACTGATTGAAAGATACACTTAAGATCTGAGCATTTCAATGAATATAAATGTTAGTGCAATTTTTGACAAAATAAGTGACATTGAATAACTGTTTGAACATTATTATTTCGTGATGTTTTCAGACATGGCATAACACAGGTTAGGCTAGCAAGAGACCCAGGAGACACTACAGTGAGTCAAGAAGAGAATATGGCCCAGCAGGCGCATCCAATGTGAAGACCTGTGTTGGGCCAGAACAAGGTGGTGATAAACGAACTTTGGTAACCTCCAGATGAAACCACCAGGGGCAAGGAGAGTTGAGAGAGAAGTGATTTGATTATCTCTTATAATCCCCCAATTCAGAATCTCCAGGGATGAAAACAGGGCTAACTACAGGGCTGCACAATTGATAAAATATGCTTGTAGGAGCACTGCCTCCTTCACCCCTCACATTTCCCTCAGTCAGTTGCTGAAATCTAAGTTTCTACAGAATACAGGGAAATAATGATTTTACCTCACAAAATAAAAGGATTAAAATGCAAATGCATAGTTGAACTAATACTTTAGAATAAATGACTTTTACTCCCATGTAATCAGTGGACGAATGCAAATGATGAAGCACTGACCCTTCTCATTTCTGACAACGTAGAAAGAACGGGAAGAAGAAATAGTCCAATTCGATACACATTTACTGAGCAGCTACCGTGTGCTAAATCAGTGGTTTTCAGGCTTTTATGACTGTGACCTTTAGTAAGAAATGAAATTTATATTGCAGCTCTGTGTAGATGTACATACGGATAACTAAAACAGTGTTGTAAAATAAAACCTACACTTGCTAAACGAGATGCACTCAGTGTTTTCTATTCTGGTATATTCTCTCTCATGTTTACAAAAACTCTGGTAAGTGACCCACTACCTTCTCACTACCCGCTAATAAATTATGGATTGTGGGTTGAAAAACACAGTGCTCCCCTTGCAACCCAGAATGTGGTCTGTGGACCCAGAGCATCGGCCTGTGGGAGCTTGTAAGCAAAGCATAACCTCGCACCTACCGAATCAGAACCTGCATTTTCATCAAACCTCCGGATGCTCCCTGTGGACTTTAATGCGTCACAAGTCCTGTGCTCAACAACGCAAAGAGAGAATGCTCGGGACAAAGTCTTCTTGCCTAGGGCAGAGATTCTTAAGCAGGGATGGTCCGGTTTTTAGAATATACGTATCCAGGCATCAAGGCTACAACTCCAGTGTCTACAAGGATATCCTAGGCAGTTATGCCAAAAACTAAAATAAATGAACAAAATCTACCAGAGCTTCTGAGCCCCACCCTATTTAATAACCACTCGTCTGCTTGCTTCAATGAAAACCACGTACCAATTTATTACAAAGGTGCAAGCCTATGCTTCAGGTAATATGGAGCGATGTTACTTTAGTTTTCATTGTGGATGACTTCAAATACAATCACTTTATTCCCTGAATATTTATTGATGGAGGCATTGCCACTGCTACTTCTGAATTGGCCGCTTCATCCGTATGGGAGAATTTGCAGACATCTTCATTCTACCAATAACCGTCCGTTTATAGAAATGAAACATGACTTCGAGTAGAAATATTAGTAGTGGTTCTGCTGAGTTAGCACAACTCATCCCCTAGATTACTTCCAGTAGATCCGTAACCTCGGATCTCTACTGCCAAAGAAAACGGAGCTGCCCCTAAGTGGCCGTAACTGCTCATTAAGGACCTTCCCGTTGCGTTTGTATGTTTCCTGAGTGGTGGGACGTTTTAGTCTGGAAGCTGCTAATCTTGCTAACACTAAAAGGCTCTCTCCCATTAGCAGCTTCTGTGTTGCATTAATAATAAGAAAGTAATAAAGAGGCCGCAGCTGTTCGTTCTCTCCTGAGGAGAGACCACAGCTTCCTTCTTATCCCCATGGTCCACTGTATTAAAGTAATAGAGTGGATAATAACTGCTGTCTATTCTATCAAAGTCTAAAATTCCTTCTTTCTGGGGAGGAATACCTTTTCTCAAGTCTTCCAAATTTAAAACTATACCCTCCATACTTTTGTAATTGAACTTGTCTCTTTAATTCATAATTCTTTTGAAATGTGAGTGCAAACCATCAAAAACAGAGGGGGAAGAAAAGTTGCTTTGGAAAAACTAAATATTTCTACCTTTCCTGAAAAAAACTATAAAACAGTGAACTCTTTCAGATATCTTCCTGTCTTTTTTTTTTTTTTTTTTTTTTTTTTTTTTTTTTTTTTTTTTTTTTTTTTTTGGTAAATCAAATCACTTACGTGCACAGCAGTAAATTAAAGAAAAGCGAGGAATAAAGTCCTCTGCTTTTGTAAATGTTAAAAACTCTCTTGCTATTAGAGAATAAATGAGGAAAATATCATATTAAAACAAAATAAGTAGGATTGGATTTGTTAGTTTCCGTGTGCTTCTTAATACATTCTGTCTTTGTTAAAGACAATGTGATCTTATTAGGGTCCATAAAGATTGGAGAAATTTCCATACTTAATTGCTTAGTTTCTTTTTCTATTGAAAATAGTTAACGTTTTGCAGAAGTGCACTTTTATTTATTTTTTTTTAATTTTTTTTAACCTTTATTTATTTTTGAGACAGAGAGAGACAGAGCATGAACGGGGGAGGGGCAGAGAGAGAGGGAGACACAGAATCAGAAGCAGGCTCCAGGCTCTGAGCCATCAGTCCAGAGCCTGAGGCGGGGCTCGAACTCAGGGACCGCGAGATCGTGACCTGAGCTGAAGTCAGCCGCTTAACCGACTGAGCCACCCAGGCACCCCAGAAGTGCACTTTTAAAGATCCTCTTGATTTATGGGGCACCTGGGTGGTTCGGTCAGTTAAGCGCCCAACTCTTGGTTTCAGCTCAGGTCATGATCTCACACTTTCGTGGGTTGGAGTCCCATGTCTGGCTCTGTGCTGCCAGTGCAGGGCCTGCTTGGGATTCTCTCTCTGCTCTCTCTGCCTCTGCCCAACTTGCATTGTCTCCATCTCTCTCAAAAATAAAATAAAAACAAAAATGTTTAAAACAGAAAGATCCTCTTGATTTACGTCTGTTTTTTTTTTTTTTAAGTATATGATCTGTCCACAGAATAAAGTAGTTAGGTTATTGCAATTTGTCATCTATAACCAAAACTATTTTTACTTTCAACTGTATATTTTTTTTAACTGGATAAATAGTAATCCATCATCTCAAAAGTGTTGCTCAGATTTTCATTCCTTGGAGTCAAAATATTTGAGTCCAACTTACATGACTGTGTCCTGATTTTGAAAAGTTAATTTTGTAATTAAGTTATATATTGCATATTTTATACTTGTAATTTATGGGAGAAAAAAAGACCAATATGAATAATTTTCATCAATGAGAATATGTATTTTTTAAATGAAATATATGTTCATAATCCTCCTGGAGGAAATCACTGTGATGGGCTCTGTGCAATATTTATATAAGATTCAAGAAATTACTGTATAAACCAGCTCAAAGCTTTTTTCTACAAACTTATAATCAACATATTTTCCTTATAAGTACTAAACATTTTGCAAAAAAAAAGAAGAGAGAAGACATATCTAATAAGTCAAGACTGCCCTTTTAAATGTTTTTAATTATGTATAAAAGTCTTTGAATGAAAAAGATTTATAATTTAGGAAAGAGAAAATGCAAAGTATTGTTTGTAAAGTAAACACGAGATATTTCCTCTAGGCAAGTAACAATCTAAATCCCTTTTAATTAATAACTCATATGGTCTACTTATTAACCAAGTCTTTTTGACAAATCCACTAAACCTCTTATTTGTTGTTTCATTTTGTTTGTAAGAACCTCAAGTGTTTATTACATAGCAATGGCTGCATATTATTGCTAGAGTTTCCCCTAAATTTAGGGAAGAAAAGAGGTGAATAAGACATTCTTTGAAGGCCCAAAAAGCAAACTGGTCTTTTGGAAAAGTAGCCTTGTTAAAATAGTCTTCGAGTGTGGGTAGTAAGCATACTTATGGGAATTCTTTTTGTTTCCTTTTTTCTGCTCTCCAGTTCATGAAGGCTCAGGAGAAACCAGTCAAAAGGAGACTTCCACCTGTGATATCTGCCAGTTTGGTGCAGAATGTGATGAAGATGCTGAGGATGTCTGGTAACGCGTTCTTTTTATTCTTTAAACAAATCATGACAATAATTTCTTTTTATTCCCTCGACCATTTCCTAAAAGACATTTTCAGCACGTTTTCCAATCCAGTTCCTAAGGGGGAAATTAAGGGCTATAATAACAGCAAGGAATTTCTGAGGCTGAATTAAGAGCTGGACTAGCCAGGCAGCTGTTAACGTTCGTTACTTGATACGATACGCTAAGATACCTTTTAGACCCCCAAATACTGTCAATGTTAAAAGATGGATAGAAAAATCATACTTATCAGGACGTTTCTTAGGAACCATGGTCAATAAACAATGGATGGTTGCTAATCTGCTTTCTAAGATGGTGGATCTGAGTAATTGCAGAGAATTGAAGGGTTCTGCATATGCGCACCCATAGCCAAATTAAGAAGGCAGTAAAGCAAAGAATGATTTCTGGGCTTCTCTCTAGGATCAACTTCTCCCTTCATCCAAACAATACTCGACTCCTTCTGGAAACATGTTGAACAAATAATGAACAATATTCATTATTTTGAATGAGTCCCAAAATGTTAGTCCTCTGGGGCATCCACAGGTATTAGTCCTGCCTAAATCATCCCCAAAGGGAGCAACCCAAAGTTCAGCGTGAGGTCTTTGTGGTGTGATAGTGGAAAGAGGCAGGGTTCCCCCCTCACTTATACACATACCTTTCAGGAAAACAGCCAAGTGCCCTTTGTTGTCTTCATTGTGCAGACTGTGTTTGTCTAGAGGAGTTAACAATCATTTCGATCAAGGTGGCAAAGAGAGTAAATCTTAAATGTTCTTATCGCAAAAAAAAGAAATGGTGGTTGTGTCACGTGATGGAGGCGTTACTAACAGTATGGTGGTAATCATATTGCAATATATAAGCATATCAAACACGTGCGCATCTTAAATTTATACAATGTTATATGGCAACTCTATCTCAGTAGAGCTGGAGGCAAACAATACTTTGGATCAAACTTTTGTGGGTGGAGGGAGCCACTCATCCAAAGAACAAGAAGAAAAAAACTGAAGGCAAGATAATTTTGGCAAGAGTGAAACAGCTTGCACTTAAAATATTTACAGTTTTTTTGAATGAGGATTAAGTGGTGGATTCCAACAGAGCAAACTGGAGTTCTTAGGGTAAACTAATCAGGTACTTACAGGTAGACTCTGTAGCCAGGTGAATTAGCCACCCACTAATAAATGCAGACAGCAGTAGAGTTTTCCATACCTGCCAAACATTTCTCACCAATGGGCAGCTAGCAGCCAGGTGAGAGCTTATGTACTGGTTTGACCGCCTTGAGGGAAATAAATGTGTAATTTCTTAAGAGCATTTTGGGCATCTTAATGGCTAATGAATTTATCGTTCCCAAACCTGGCTGATCATCACAGTTACTCTGGAAACTTTTTAGACACACTAATTCTTTTGTTCCACCCCAAAACTAATAAATAAATCAGAATTTCAGAGAAGTAGGGCTTAAATTTTTACTTATCTAAAACTCCCCCAAATGACTATGAAACACTGCTTTAAAATAAATGACTGACTCAAAGAATCATTTTGCTCTCTCAATGCTTTTGGACTCTATATAGTCATAGCCATTATATATATTGAGACACACTGATAGGAAAGACATCCTTTAAACATTACATTTTTAATGTTTCCTGGTGACTGCATCTGTAGTTCAACATCATTTTTAAAGCTGTTAATTATCTTGCTGTCAATTATTTTACTTAAAAAAAATTCACACGGGTTCCTAATTTTTTCTTAGAATTTCCATTCCCCTGGTTTCTCGTCTCTTCAGTGGTCATCTTTAGGTAACATAGTTTCCTTTGCAGATGCAAAGATTTAAGAAACGATATGAATAGCCGCTAAAAGCTACTGGTTGCTCACTATGGGTTTGATCCATCTGTATACTTTTTCTTGTTGCTTATCTTTAACCCTAGGGGTAAATTCCACCATCCTTTCACTTTACAAAGAGGAAACTGAGTTTTGAAGCGTTTAAGTGGCAGTCCACAATAAAGAGGTGAGGTGAAAGTAACTAGAGGGTGTTAGCCTAACAATTCAGCCAAAGATGCAATTAAAATAATATTTCTTTCCTGCCATGTCTGCAATAAGAAAATAGCCAGATTGCAGGCAGCTTAGATGTAGTGACTCAAGACCTGCAGGATTCAAGCTGGTGACAAGGGAGATGCCTGCAGCAGGCAGTGGGAAAATGTCCAGGCAAGCAGTGTCACTCCTGGTATTCTAGCAAAAGTTCCAATCTATGGTATGAGGGCAGGTGGAATATGAGCAGATACACACAGGGCTGGTGGCATCCGAAAAATTCAACAGGAGGTCATAGGTCCCAGCCATGCAACTGGAGCTAAGAAAAAGAAACCCAGTTATACAAAGGGAACAAGAAGGACAAAGCAGAACTTCAGTGATCAAGGAATTGGTTATCAATCAGGAAAAGAGAGACAGATCCGGGCAAGACTGGATGGATACCCACTTGCCGGAACTGGTGTAGAAAGCCAAGCCTTGGTTACAAGGGGCTGAGACGAGCGTCTAGATCTCAGAAATAAATTACAAGGTCAGAATGAAATCAGCAGCAAGGCTGACTGGATGCTGAATCAGTTAGCTTTTGGCTAGGACATCTTGTACGCCCCCAGCCTAGAGACAAGATTAGTTCCAAAATGCGGAATAAAGCTGAACCTCCAGATGGGGCTAAGTGGCTATAGCTGTGAAGATTAGAGGGATGCAGGGGGCAGGGAGCCAAGAAGATCATTATACTTCCCAGGCAAGAATGAAAAGTTGTTAGCATTTAAATAAAATGTACTTAAAATGTCCAATGTAAGCAAGAAGGAATGGTGCTGAAAGTGATAAGCGTATTGATTTTCATTTACATAAATACCTTTGTATGTTAACATTTTGTATTTAGTTATGACCATGAAGGGCAGATTGGGAACAGCTGAAGGACGCAAGAATAAAGCGATAAATGAAGTTAAATAGGCATGGAAGGAAAGAGGCTATAAAGTACAACAGAAGGCAGTTGGGGAGTGATCTGACTCGTACTGGTCAACTGAAGCAGGGGAGTTTTGATGTGCTGTTGATTTTAGATGAAACCACGGCCAGGTCCTCTCGCAAACATAACGTATTGCATATGCTGTGTGGCAACAAGGAGTACAACTCAGTGTTCAATTTTATTTTTGCCTTTGATACTAACTAAACCCACTGTTTTATACATGCAAATTTCCTCAATCCTGCGTTATGAAGTAATTAACAAGATGTGAATAATTATTACTGTATTTGTGATATGGGAACAAAGATGAGAAATTAATTCCTGGTCTTTCTTTAACCCTGGCCTAAGAAATTAATATTTTATATTTCATCACAGAAACTAAGTCTAGTTATCCAAAAATGCTTAGGTACTTGCCAAATGAGGACATATCTTTGTTAGAATTAAAAAGCCGGTTGGTCAGTTACAATCAATCACAATCACTTGATCTTTTCACAGATGAGTTTTGGAGTTAAACAAGTCACGCTGGGGGCGCCTGGGTGGCTCAGTCTGTTAAGTGTCCAACTTCAGCCCAGCTCATGATCCCCCACTTTGTGGGTTCAAGCCCCGCATCGGGCTCTGTGCTAACAGCTCAGAGCCTGGAGCCTGCTTCAGATTCTGTGTCTCTTTCTCTCTCTCTCTCTGCCCCTCCCCTGCTTACACTCTGTCTCTCTGTCTTCCAAAAATAAATAAACGTTAAAAAATTAAAAAAACAAAAACAAGTCACGCTGGACATGGAGAAAATAAATAAACGAACGAATGAATGAATGAATAGTAGAGGGGTAAGGAAAATAGAGGAAGAGAACTAATAATAATTAGAGAATGGCATTGATAAACCGTGATACTAAAGACATTACATTTTAATGCCTTTGAGAAAAACAGATGGTTTATAAGCTCATATAAACCCCTCACGTACATTCTATGATTTCATTTCAAGGTTTTTCTCTTGCCTTTTCCTTCTTCTTATGGACAACATCAAGACTCTAGAGACCCGAAGATTTTCTCAATAGCAGAGAACCACCATTGCTACAGAAGATTCTTCAGTTACAGTAATTTTCCTATAGTGTAGGAAACAATTAAGCTTCCAAAAGAGAGAATTAAAAGTCCACATGGGAAGTGGTCCACACCACAGATATATCCACTCTCATATCGGGGCATCCCTTTATTTAGGATGGACTTCAAACAAATGGAACACCTGTGCAAAGGGATGTGTAAATTTGCTTATAGGGAAGGGGTTAAGAGGGAAAGGAAAGAAGGGCTTAAAAGATTGTTTCTCTTAATATCCAGACTGAAAAAAGTCAAAACTAATATGTTTATACATCAAAGAGACTCTCAAATGCCTCCTGCCAAATATAATTTATAAAGAAAAAGAATAGCTTATAAATAAGTCAAACATAAGAAAATTGACTCATTGCAGAGTAATAAAGCCAATCTGATAGCACTGGGAATACCAACTTATAATTTCAACAAATACTTCTGATACTTGGTTCGTTTTAGAAACAGGTTTATATTCCCTTAATTATCTTACCTGATAAATTATTTCTGTAAGTCCAAAGTAGGTCAATGGTAACTCTCTTTGCACTGGGAACTATTCCTAAGAAGTAATTAGCCTAGAACTTTCTGTTGGTCCTGTCAGTCAGAAGTAGTTCAGAGCCCCGGGGTTGATACTTGATTTAATATAAGAAAAAAGCAAGTTGATAGCTGAGTCTGATCATAGGAATGACTGGGTAAGAAATTGGCTGCCTGCCTAACATTTTCAGGATGTCAGCATAGATCAAGGAAGGGAGCACAGGTGTAAAAGCAGATGTGGCTCGTGACAAATGATATAAAGGGGCAACTTAAATTATGTGTATTTGCTTCGTGTGTATGCTTTCTAGCTCCTATTTCCATTTTAACTTTGCTTTTGTATCCCACTCTACATGCTACTCAGGCTCCACTGGCAAAATCTTATTGACTAAAATTCTAT